AACAGTAGTGGGAGTAGCGATACCATGAGAGCAGGGGAATGGTGGGGGCGGGGTGGGGGGGAGGAGGAGAAAGGGGGAACCCATCATAAGGTTGGATACACAACCCACCCCCCAGGGGGATGAATAACAGATATGTGGTGAAGGGAGACTGCGGACAGGGTAAGATATGAAATAACAACAGCAATATATTATTGATCAAGGATTCACGAGGGGAGGGCCCCCCCCTGGGCAGTTAGTGGTTTCGAACTGCCGACCTTGTGATTAGCAGCCCGACACGGAACCTCTACGCCACCAGGGTTCCTCTAATAAAAACTACAACTGGTTCACAGTGGGTCAAAAGGGAAAACAAAAGTTAAGATGTGCAATGGCTGGGATCCTTAAAATATATATATATATGTATATATATATTAAGATATATATATAGCTGGGATCCTTAAAAAATAATAATAAATATATATATATATGGCTGGGATCCTAGACAAATTCCTCAGCCTCTCTGTGTCTCTGTTTCTGCCTCGAGGAAGCAAATCACACCGACTGCTAGTTGTCATTGTGCCCCCGGGCAGAAGAAAGTGAAGTGTGCACCTGACTCACCTGCCAAGTGTGCAGGAGCAAGGAGGGAAATCTCGCAAGAACAGCCCAATGGGAGCCGTACAGTTGGGAGAGTGGTGCCAGCAGATGCGCTGCTCGCTAAGGCTGGGTCGCCCCTGGCTTTCCCTGTGCAGGCGATGCAGTATCTATGTTTAGAGTTACTGAGCTGGCCATGTTCGTGGCTGTCATCTCAGGGGTGTGGATTAGCCCGCCGTGGCTGCAAACCAAGGTGACCCTGTGTCCCTTGGGGACAGCTGCTAAGTCTGGAGAGGCTTCTGGTTGTCACAACAAGGGGAGAGGGTGCATGCGGACACATTCTCTCTGCTCCTGATCGAGGAAACCTGGGAGGCCAGGGTTCTGGGTGGAGGGAGGCCTTCACGCGTGTGAGTTAGAGAAGAGTCCCAGTCGCGTTCTCCTAATTAAAAATCATC